CTGGAGAGCATTTGAGTTAATCACCAATTAGAGAGGAAGTAACCAACATGCTTCCTAAACTCTCCTTTGATGGCATGAGAAGTATGGAAATATGGCTGAGTTTCCCTTATCTGGTTCACATTAGACAACTGTTTTCAGGCACCTAATTTATTTCTCCCCACTTTCCTTTGCAAATCACCTCCTGCCCTTGTTTCTTGTGAGATACTGGATTATTGCGGGGGAAGGAAAAAAATCAGCCAATCAGCAAATAGTTAATAAGTGTTCCCTATACACCTGGCCCTATGGTAAGTTCTAGAGATTCTTTAGTTAACTGTAGAGACATGGTCCATGCCTTTATGAACCTTAGAATCTAACAGCAATCTTTGGCTTTTGATATGCAGCAGAATCATTGACAGCTCCTTAAAATACAGGTACTATGACAACAATTGAATCACAGGTTTCTGGGCTGGTCTAGCATTTATAAAGCTGTGTAGGCAAAACAGTGCACTCCAAAAGCTGATAACTAGCCGCCTAGTCAAACATTAATTCTTGGACACATTGGAAAGGAAACAGGAAGATTTGAGTTAGGAGATGACATTTAAAATGGATCTGGGAGATATACTGAAGTATTAAGTAGTAAAAGGACATGATATATCCAACTGATTCATGAATGGTTGATAAAAATAAATATATATAAAAATTAGCAAAATGTTAAAAATTGGTGAATCTGAACCAATATGTAGAACATACAAGAGTTCATTATACTATTCTTTCAACATTTCTGAAAGTTTGAATTTATTTCAAAAGAAAACAGTTGAAAGGAATAAAGAGCAAAAATTAAAATGGCTCCAAAAGTTGCATAAGATTTCAATAGTCAGAGACATAAGTTGGGGGCAGGTAGGAATGAATGATGGATAGAATAAGTATGTAAGGTTTTTCGGCGACAGCAAAAAGAAAGAGAGAAAGAGTGGGGCCAAACAACGTGGCTTTATTTAGTGCTCTTGGACAAGGTTCTGGGGCCCCAAGAGAGGGGGGCCTCAGAAGTCGCCTCCATTTGAAGGGAGTGTGGCCTTTTATACTGTTTGGGGTGGGCTAAGGACTTTTTGGCGGGAAGAGCTGGGGCGACCTTTGGTGGTCATTGAGAAATAGGAGGTGCTAGAGGTATTTGTGAAATCCGGGAGCCAAAACTCTCTGGAGGATGTGGAGAAATTGATATATTGTTGATGGGAATGTAAAATGGTACAGACATTTTGAAAAATACTTCTTCAAAATGCTAAGCCACATGACCCAGAAATTTCATTCTAAACTACATACCTGGGAGAACTGAAAACATATGTACACACAAAAACTTGTATATGAATGTTCACAGCAACATTATTCATAATAGCCAAAGGGTAGAAACAACCTAAATATCTGCCTTAGCTTAGGCTGCCATAACAAAATACCATAGACTGGGTGGCTTAAACAACAGGCTTTAATTTCTCAAGGCTGGGAAGTTCCAAGATCGAGGTGGCAACCGATTTGGTTCCTGGTGAAGGCCCTCTTCCTGGCTTGCAGACAGTCACTTTCTTGCTGTATCTCACATGGCCTTTCCTCCATTTGTGCAATGGAGAGAAATAGAGCACACTTCAGTCTCTTCCTCTTATAAGGACACTAGTCCTTTCATGGGCCCCTTCCCCCATGACCTCATCTAAACCTAATTACTTCCCAAAGATCTCACCTCCAAGTGCCATCACATTGGGTGTTAGAGCTTTAACATATGAATTGGGGGAGGGACACAAACATTGAAAGGATGGCCTTGCCAATAAACTATCTAACAAAGTAAACTAACAGAGGAATAAACTCATAGCACATAATTGACCCTTTGAAGGAAAAGGTCACAGCACAGCAGCCATTTGATTAGCTACCTGTGGCTTAAATTGTTTTATTTGAGAGTTTGTTTTCCAGCATTTGAAAAGAACTGAGCAGATAGAAGGGGTGTGAGCTCCCCAGCTCCTGCTCTTGCCAGACCACGTTCCAAAGGACTGTGTTAAGCCAGCCTCACAGATAAAAGGGGGAAAAAAGGAAAAACCTTTTGCTGTCAGCTGGCAACAATCACTCTTTTTTTTCCTCTTTTTTTTTTTTTTTTTTTTTTTGAGACAGAGTCTCGCTTTCTTGCCTAGGCTAGAGTGAGTGCCATGGCATCAGCTTAGCTCACAGCAACCTCAAACTCCTGGGCTCAAGTGATCCTCCTGCCTCAGCCTCCCGAGTAGCTGGGACTACAGGCACAAGCCACCATGCCCGGCTGATTTTTATATTATATATATTAGTTGGCCAATTAATTTCTTTCTATTTTTATGGTAGAGACGGGGTCTCGCTTAGGCTGGTTTTGAACTCCTGACCTTGAGCAATCCGCCCGCCTCGGCCTCCCAGAGTGCTAGGATTACAGGCGTGAGCCACCGCGCCCGGCCTTTTTCCTCTTTTATCCCCATAAAAAGTCCAAACCACTTGTCCTCTGTGCTAACATTTCTTTCTCTTATGTTGTGCCCTTCCCTCACCTTTGGAAGTAAAATAAACTTTCTTTAATACTATTCTAATCTTTGTGTTGAGAATTCTTGCTCAGCCCGTGCTACAAATCCTCACCCTAATAAACGTTTGGTATATAACAATGTCCCTCACCTGGTAAATGGATAAATATTAATAAAATATATGTCTACACAGTGGGATATTATTCACCCATAAAAGGAAGGAAGCACTGATGCATTTTACAATGTAAATGAACCTTGAAAATATTATGCTAAGAGAAAGAAGCCAGACATAAAAAACTATATATTGTATGATTCCACTTATATGAAATGTCCAGAATAGCCAAATCTATGGAGACAGAAAGTAGATTAATGATTGCCTTGGGCTGGAGAGGTGGAGGGAAAATGGAAAGTGACTGCTAATGGACATGAGCTTTCTTTTTGAGGTGATGAAAATGTTCTAAAATTAGGTGGAGGTAATGGAAGTCTGAATATATTAAAAATAATTGAATTGTACACTTTAATGAATCTTATGATATGTTAATTATATATCAGTAAATCTGGTAAGTAAGCTTTAGCAAAAATTGGTAGTTTGTTTTAGGGGCAAAACATAAAATATTGTATAGAAATGTGATGCTCTTCTATTACATCTCTTTGCATTATAAATGTATAGAAAGGTCAGTTGCAGCACAGTAATTTTTAAAAGAGAGGAAAATAACAAAAATAATGGAGAAATAAATCTATTGCTGCCCCTTTCTGAAAGGAATTTGAAAACTCAGAGTAGCCACCAGAATAGATTTTCCATCCGAATACTTTTTATGTGTTGCACAGATTATTGAAAGAAAATAAATTGTAGCAATCTCTAAAAAGTCAGACTTTTAATGGCTCTATGAGCAAAGGCAAAAAGAAAAAATCAGACTTTTAATGCTATATAATTTAACAGTAACAAGAGAACATTTTGAAACAGTTTTGATAGTAACAGCCCTCGAGTGAGGCATGATGAAGTGGCCATTCTACCTTTCAGGATAAATAGTCAACCCATGTCATTTTTGTTTTTTTACTTCCTAGAATATTGTATGATTTTAGAGGACCTATAGGGTTTTTTCCCCTTCCATTAAATAATTTATCCACCTTTGCACCTTTTAACTTCTCCTTTGGAAAAAAGACAGGAAACATCCCACTTCCTTATTTCTCTAATGAAATGAATGCAATAACTTTTATTTCCCCCATCTCATTTTGAGGAGTAAAAATATTGTATTATAATAACAATGTATATAGTGATTTTTTTAAGCAAGAGTAACAAATAGTTTGGAATTTTTCTCAGGTCACTTCATACAAACTATGTGGTGACACCCCTACTCGCTATGTTTGTTGAGCTAACTCCTATACATCCTTAAGTTCAACCTCTACCATCATTCTTGCTTTCTCAGTTTTTTTTTTTTATAAGTGTCCCTCGTCTGTGCTCCAGTGATGCTGTAAGCATATCTCCATACATTCTCCGTTTATTTGCCTTAAATTTTATGCTTCATTAGGGCCAATGACTGGATCTTACCTTTGTACCTCAGCATCTATAACTGAATTTGGCAAATAGGAGGTGCTCAGTAAATGCTGAACTGAACTTAATGAATGAAGGTCTATTATTAGATGTTATAGGGGTTGGTATTTGGTCAATTATTTTTTTTAAATTGAAGCATAGAATTATTGAAAAAATATATACACATACCTTAAAGTTTTATTTTTGTTAAAACATATAGTTGTATAATCTTTGACAATTATTTGATGTAGGGCATGGCCTTTGAATATGAAACCCTAATTTTAGTTCTACCTAGTGCTTCTTGAATTAAAAATCAAACATTTTTTAAAACTGTAAGATGAAAACAATTTATTTAAAATGAAGGCACTTGGGAAAAATTTGAAACATGAACACAGAATCTTTTTAGATTTTTACTATTTTTCCCAATCTTTCACAGATATCTTAACCACACATAATCCAATACCATTTTTTATTAGCAGCTTACTTTTATTAAGTCTGTTTTAAGCATATTAAATAGTTCTTAGAGAAACAGCTCTCTTTTTACAGTCATATTTCTGATAACTAAATACAATGACATTAACAGATTTGAGAATAAATGTAACTAGGTGGCTCTTAGTAAATATACAAATCAGCTATTTGGAACAGAAGTGTAAGGGAGTACTGGAATAACTAACCAGCTATGAGCATTAATGATTGTATCCTGAGTATCAGGTAATGCATTTTATAGAAATAATGGAATATTGTCTAGTAAGTCACTTAGTGGAGGGAATTTAAGAGTAGTTATATTATACTTGTTTTCTTCTTTTCCAAAATTTCATCAATTATAGAGCTTACTCAGTTACCTATTAATAAATCTTGCCACAAGATTTTATAAACTTTGTTTTTCTTAAAACTCAGTGCTTTGAAATGTCTTTTTGTCTTCTCAAGTCACTTTGGCCACCCCCAAGAATTTCATGCTAATTGTTTTTTTGTTTTAATTTCAGTGGTAGGAATGGGATCCTGGTGCTTCCACATGACTCTGAAATATGAAATGCAGGTTAGTAATGACAAAATTGACAAAATACTTATTTCTCTTAATTCAGAGATACTTCAAATTTGAGAAAAGAGCATATAACTAAAGGATGGTTAAAATAGGATTTGTAATTCAGGTCAAAGGATCCCTACTGACTGAGTAAAGAAGCAAACAGGTGAGTTGTCCGTAAAGAAAATAAATGAAAGCAGTATACAGATTTTTTACCACCTCTGTTCAGGCATATATAATTTTAGAGCAGCATTAAAGAGTAGAGTCACATGGAGACATCTTAAAAAGATATAATCAGTTCACCAAAACATATATTCTTATTCTTAGGTGCCTGCATGCTTTTATGTCTCTATAGCGTCTATTTGAATGGTCTGTTGCTTCTAGCTAGCAAGGATTTAGAGCTATACAAGGATTTTTAGTTCTTATCCTTGCTCCAAGGAGGCCATTTATCTAGTCCTAAATCTTTTGACCTCTTGGTTCTGCATCACTAACCCAGAAACTTCTAGAATACCACTGTCTAGTAGAAATAAAATGTGAGCTACATTTGTAATTCAAAATTTTCTGGTAGCCACATTGAAAAAAGTAAAGAGAAATAGGTGAAATTAATTTAATAATATATTTTATTTAACCTAATGCAGCTAAAGTATTACTTCAATATATAATCAGTATAAAATATATTAATAAAGTATATTTTATACATATTTATATATATACATATTTACATATTTTTATACATACACACATATGTATATTCTCAAATTCTGTCCATGACAGGATCTTGGATCAGGGGACTCCAAAGCCAAAGAGCAAACCTACCATCTAGATCTTATTTTCTAAAATTCATTCTTTTTTAAAGGGAACCAAGGCTGATTCCAAGGGCTGGACAGAAAAAAAGGATAATATGAGCCTGGAACATCTTTTTATGTCAGAAAGAAGGGAAATGCTCAAAGAATGATGGGGCTATGTCAAAAAGACATTGAGACAGGTGCAATGGCTTACACCTGTAATCCCAGCACTTTAGGAGGCTGAAGTAGGGAGTATCAGTTGAGGCAAGGAGTTGGAGACAACATAGTGAGACCTCATCTGTACAAAAAATCTTAAAAAGTTAGCTGGGCATGGTGGCACATGCCTATACTCCCAGCTACTCTGGAGGCTGAGACAGGGCAATCACTTGAGCCCAGGAGTTGGAGGGTACAGTGAGCTATGATCATGCTACTACTGTACTCCAGCCTGGGCAACAGAATGAGATCCTGTTTCAAAAAAACAAATAAAAAAGGACACTGAAGCCAACTTGAAGGGTTTCCCACTGGCCAAATCTGAGACCATTTGAGTATCAAAATATATAGTAACTGATTATAATAATTACGCAGTGAATAAAGTCAGAAATCATGAGTCCATACTAAGATAATAAATGATATAGTAAATGAAATAATACATGATTATAAATAAATGAAGTAAGAGTTGATGTTGAACCGTTTATTTATATAGTTTCAAAGTACCTCCTATCAAAATAATTATAAAGGAGAGAAAAAGAATACCTTTACAGTGAAGAAGCCTAGCAGATAGCAGTACCTTAGTCAAGCAACCAAATGAATGTCATCAGTAATAGGACAGATCAAAATTATGTGCCATCTGATAGGATACAGTAACAAGAACATAGCATCACTTCTCTGATATTCCTGTCAAAGATGCATAATCTGAATTTAATAATATGAAAATATCAGACAAAACCAAATTGAGGGATATTACATAAAACATCTGACCTGTAATCTTTAAAAGTATAGTAGTCATAAAATTCAAAGATTAAGGAGCTATTGCAGATTGAAGGACATAAAAAGACATGACAACTAAATACAGTATAACTCTGGACTAGATTCTGTATGAATGTGTGTGTGTTTGTGTTGTGTGTTTATATTTATATTTATGATATTAGGATGCTTAAAACTTGAATGGGGTCTGAGGATTAGATATAGTAATAAATCGGTGTTAATTTCCTGATTTTGTTGGTAATATTGTGGATATTTAGATGAATATCCTTTTTAGATACAATTTATATACAATAAAGTCACCCTTTTTAAAGTGTATAAGTCAATGGTTTTAAGTATATTCACAAAATTGTGGAGCCATTACCACTATCTAATTTCAGAATATTTTCATCACTCCAGTGAGAAACCCCATTCCCATTAGTAGTCATTCCCTGTTACTCCCCTCCCCCTAACCCCTGACAACCACTAATCTATTCTCTGTCTGTATGGATTTGCCTATTCTGGACATTTCATATCAATGAAATCTTATATGTGGCCTTTTGTGTCTGGCTTCTTTGACTTAGCGTGTTTTCATAGTTCATCCATGTTACAGTATGAAACATTTCATTTTTCAGTGGACTAATACTCTATTATGTGGATATACCACATTTTGTTTATCCATTTATCAATTAGTGGACATTTGGGTTGTTTCTGTTTTGGGGGTATGGTAATACTTCTATGAACATTCATGTACAAGTTTTCATGTTATTGGGAAGTTTAAATTTTTCCCCAGAAGTTTAAATTTTTTCCCAAATTTGAATTTTATAGATTCAAATCACTGAATGTTCAGTAATTTGAATCTATAAAACAAACTGATAATAGATTAACAGGAAAAAAAGGCATACAAATTTTATTAATAGGCATATGGGCACGGGAGTCACAAAAAAATGAAAAACTCAAATAAATGGCCAAATGGTTGACACTTTTATAGCATCTTAAGGTTACAGAAAGCATAGGGGCTTGAACCTTGGCAAAATCAGATTGTGGTAGCAAGACAGGTTATGGGAGGGAGGAAAGAGGAAAGACCTGGCTAGCAAAGGCATTCTTAATATGTAGATGAAACTTTATAGGTAGCGCTTCTCAGGAAGAATAGATGGTAGCCTGTGGTAAATATTTCTGTCAGACCTTCAAAAGTCTCAGATTCTCAGTTAATTTTTCCTAGATCCAGATGGGAGAGGAGGGGGTTCAGAGAGAGCTTGTTTGTTCTTTATTTTACTTTATTTCCTCCCTAACAAAAGGCAGCTTTTTAGCTATTCTTGTATTCCTAGCCCTTCTGAATAGCCATCTTGAAATATATCAAAGAAATAATTTTGGGGTGAGATTTTTTTAGTTCCTTCAGTGTGGATGCATGCTTTCAGTTTTCTTGAACATTTACTTAGGATTGGAATTGGTGGGTCATATGGGAACTCTATGTTTAACCTTTTGAGGAACTGCCACACTGTTTTCAAAGTGTCTGCACAATTTATATTCCTACCAGCAGTTTCTCCATATCATTGCCAATATTAATTATTGTTCATTCTTTTGCTTATGGGTGTGACGTAGTTTTCCATTGTAACTTTGATTTGTGTTTCCCTAATGACTAATGATGGTGGACATCTTCTCATGTGCTTATTGGCCATTTATATATCTTCTTAGGAGAAATGTCTGTTCATATCCTGTGGCCATTTTCTAAGTTGTGTTAGCTGTGTTTATATTATTGAGTTGTATGAGTTCTTTATATATTCTGGATATTAGATTCTTGTCAGATATGTGATTTGCAAATATTTTCTTCTGTGAGTTGTCTTTTCACGTTTTTTGTTGTTTATTTGAGACAGGGTCTGTGCCTGGGTTAGAGTGCAGTGATGTCATCATAGCTCACTACAACCTCAAAAATCCTCCTGCCTCAGCACACCTGGCTAATTTTAATTTTTTATTTTTTATAGAGACAGGATCTCATTGTGTTGCTCAGGCTGGTCTCAAACTCCTGGCTTCTAGTGATTCTCCTGCCTTGGCTTCCCAAAGTGCTAGGATTACAGGCATGAGCCACCATATCTGACCTCTTTTTGCTTTCTTAATGTGTCTTTTGAAGCCAAAAAAGTTTTTGATTCTGCTCACGTACATTTTATCTATTTTTTCTTTTGTTGGTTATGTTTTTGGTATCATACTTAAGAAATCATTGCCTAATGCAGTGTCATGAAGATTTTATACCTGTGTTTCTTCTAAGAGTTTTATAGTTTAGCTTTGACATTTAGTTCTTTTCATTTAATTTTCAGTTAATTTTTATATGTGATGTTTGGTCAGGGTCTAACCTCATTCTTTAGCATGGGAATGTTCAGTTGTCCCAGAGCCATTTATTAAAAAGACTGTTCTTCCCTTATTAAATTATCTTTGTTACCCTTGTTGAAAGTCAACTGATCATAAATGTGTGAGTTTATTTATCATCTCTCAATTGTATTACATTAACTTATATGTCTATTCTTATGCCATTACCACACAACCTTGATTACTGTAGATTTGTAGTTAAGTTTTGAATTGGAGAATGTGTTAGTTCTCTAAGTTTTTATTTTTTTAAAGATTGTTTTAGCTACCCTGGGTCCCTTGCATTTTCATATGAATCTTAGGCTCAGCTTCTCAATTTCTGTAAAAAGGTAGCTAGAACTTTGAAAAGGATTGTGTTGATAACTTTGGGGAGCATTGACATCTTAATGTTATATCTATCAATCCATGAATACAAGATATCTTCCCATTTATTTAAGTCTTTAATTTCTTTCAATAATGTTTTGTAGTTTTAATGTGCAATATTTTATTCTTTTTGATGCTATTGTAAAGGGAATTGTTTTCTTAATTTTTTTACCTTCAGATTTCTCATGTCTAATGTGTAGAGATAACAATGATTTTTCTATATTGATCTTGTATCTTTGTACTCTTATATTCAACTCTGCTGAACTTGTCTTTTACCTCTAATAGGGATGTGTGTGTGTGTGTGCGTGCATGTGCGTGCGTGCTTGCGTGTGTGTGTGTGTGTGTGTCTGTGTGTATTCTTCAGGGTTTTCTGTGTACGAAATCGTGTCATCTGCAAATAGAGTTAGTTTGACTTCTTCCTTAACAATTGGATGCCTTTTATTTCTTTTTGTTACGTAATTGCCCTGACTAGAACTTCCAGTACATTGTTGAATAGAAGTGGAAAGAACAGACCTTCTTGCCTTGTTCCTGACCTTAGGGAAAAAACTT